ATGTTCATGTTACCCTGATACTTTTTCAAAAATTTCGAATTTTTCAATTGCAGTGAATACCTACCTAAAGAAAAAATTGGAATTATTTAAAAAAAAAAAATGAATGACGGCGGGATCGAACCCAGGCCGTCGGCGTGCTAGCCGAGCGCGTTACCATTAGGACAGCACGCTTAATACAATAATCTAATTTCATTAGGAGTATATCTTCAATAGATCGAATAATCGTTTTTATTTGAAATTCCACAAATATGGCTTCCCTCTTCCGCCCGTTCTACAGTCGACTAAATTTCAGTTAAACAAATAAAAAACAAAAAGCATTCATGCCGCAGAAAATAAAATTCATCCTGTCGACTTGGTGGACACCCGAGCATTGGGTGTTGCGCCCTCCCTCTCTTAGAATGCAGTACTACGATGCCGCTGGGGTCACTTAAACCCCCAGAAGTGAGCCTCTTCTTTATCCTCTTTAGCTCTTCCCCACTATTTTCAAGTGATTGTGATGATCAGCGTAGTTTCTACCTCGAACAGGACGGCATAACCAAGAAAAGAGTAGAGACCTGCGGAAATGACATCAGCTGACAACTATCCCAACTATCTACGTGTCCTAGGCTTCCACTCGGTCTACTATTGACAACTAGGCACTCCGTCAATTTTTTTCTGACAGCTATTGATAACTCCCGCTCCAACGTGCTATTTTAGGCCGTAAGTATCGATTTTCTTCATCAAACCTTAATTTTCCACTTAATTATTCTTTTGAAAAAAAAACACCGGGGTTGCATGACCCTGGGGAAAGAGGATTGTCATATAATATCCATTATTTAATGCATAATTACATTTGTAATTCAAAGTGAGTTATTATTATCGTAAAGCAATAAAACAATACATTCAGATGAAATTCAATTGTTATTAAAAAACGAATATAGAACGGAAATCCCTGAATATTTAAAATACTTTATGGTGTTTTTCAGATCATGCGCCAGTTGAAGGGAAAAACGAAAGAAACGAATAAACAGAAGAAGGAGCGAAGGAAGGAGTTTATTGAGAATAAACAACGAGTATTTACGATTGTTTTACCAACTCTGGCTGCCATTGTGGTGTTGATAGCTGCTTATGTTTACATCAAAACACGTCCTAAGACTATAGAATTTTGAGTTTAATTGATGTTTAAGTAAATCGTTTAATTTCTTTGATTTAATATCTTTATCACATTATCAAAGAGAGGATCACATTCGTCCTCGGAAAAGCTTCTGCTAATATAAAGTATTTTAATATAAGAAATGCCAGGGCTGCTTTGAATCTGCAAATTCTTATGCTTCAATTCAGTGTACAAATTATGCAAATCTATTATATCGAAAATTTATAATAATTGTAAAAAGTTTTGTGTGCTGTTTTCACTGGAATAGACTGTTTTCTCTATGAAATAAATGTAATTATGTATGGGACCAAAATATAAGTAAAATTGATTGGGGAATTGATCGCGAGATCACTGGATTTATTAATGGATCGGGGGATTTTTTGGATATTTTTGAAATATAATTTCATGTTAAAATTGAAATTCATTAAAGTATCAGGAGAACATAAAAATCGAAGAGTTATTCACTGAAATTGCCAAATTCAAAATTTCAGTGAATACCTCCTCGATTTTCATATTCTCCTGATACTTTTTCGAAAATTTTGAATTTGAAAATTTCGGTGAATATCTTCTCGGAGCTCCTGATATTTTTTCGAAAATTTTGAATTTGAAAATTTCAGTGAATACCTCTTCGATTTTCATGTTCAAATATTTTTTCGAAAATTTTGAATTTTACAATTTCAGTGAATACCTTTGATTTTCATGTTCAAATATTTTTTCGAAAATTTTGAATTTGAAAATTTCAGTGAATACCAATTTCGTAACGCAGAAAACTCACCCTGTCGACTAGTTCCTCTGACAGACACCCCCATTGCGTTGTGGCGCCCCCGTCTCTTGGGGTGCAGTACTACGATGCCCGTGGGGTCACTCAAACCCCCAGAACTGACCCTCTACTGTAGTCAATCCTCTCTGACTTAAAACGTTGCGGGCAGAAGTCGCGGATGACGTTTAGCCAGGAGCTTAATAACAAACAAACACAACCCCTCAAAATTCTATTCTCCCAAAAATGGGCGCAGAGTTAAATCTCGGGGTTCGTTTAAGCTCAGGAACTTTCTCGACGATAAAACTGAGTGACGTGGATCTTAAAACGAGAGTTGAAGACCTCCGACTCAGTGCTGCCAAGAAATTCGAGCTCCCGAAGGACGCATTCGGTATGACTTTCCCTTTTCATTGTTCTGTCACAAAAAAATATATTATTCTATTCTATTTAAAATGTCAACATTTTTATTTTTATATCTATATTTTTCTTGCTCCCGAGAGTTTAATTATCATCTACCAGATAAATAATTATAAAACAGAGATCAATTCCAGAAAATAAAATAATTCATCCTTTCTGTTGTCAAACTGCAGAGCTCATTCATTGTGGATGCATATTGGAGGATGACTCCTCCTTGGAATCATGTGGTCTGAAGGACGGTTCAATGGTCCACGTTCTGAAGAAGAAGGAGGCAGAGAAGCCGGTTCCAGCTAAGGCCATCACCGAGGGTAGTATCCTGCAGATCGCCAATGCGTTTAAGGCTTTCAATGAAAATCCCCCTCTGAGGAATGCTCTGCATGTGAGAACATTCACGATTATGGAGTTTGTTGTGTTTTTAACCCCTAGAAACAAAGGGCTATACAATATTCTGTTTTCAGCGGTTGAGCAAGCGTCCAGAGGTGATTGAAAATATCATTGTAACAACTCCAGGGCTCATCGATGATTCAGTGGCTGTTGCTATGCTCCAGGATCCAGATCTAATGGCTCATTTCAATGATTTAGATACTGTGCGAAGGTAAATTCTTGCAACCCTTTCCTCTAATTATTAATAAATATCTTGGAGCTGAAGAGAAATATTTTTTTAATTCCAGAGCTGCAGAGCTTCACCCAGTGCTGGCAGAGGCAGCTTTGCTGATCGTATCAGCTGTCCACGAAGAAGCTCACCGTTCAGCAGCTCAAGGCACAGGTCCATCGACTCTGAATGCCCCATCAGCTGCCTACTCGTACAGCCTTGACAATCTCAGTGAAGACGAGGAGATGGCAGGTGATTCCTCGCAATCCTCAGACTCTAATACAGCTATCACCGCAGCTCAATTAGCAGCAGCTCTTTCCCGAGCAAATCCAAGGAGTGCATTTCCCCTGTCACATTCATCCTCATCGACATCAGCTGGAAGCAATTCAGGCCTCATCACCACAGAGATGTTCTCCCAGGCGATGCAGCAGGCTTTTGCATCAGCTCCCAGTGGTACCACCTCGATGCCACCACCTGCCCCTGCAATTCCTCCTTTGGTACCACAGAGTGGAGATCTCCAGAGGCAACTCGCTCAGATGCACGAAATTGGGCTTCAGGATGATGCTGCCAACGTCATGGCCCTCCAGTTTACAAATGGAGATGTCCAAGCTGCTATCGAACTCGTCTTCAGTGGGTTCAGTGATAACTAGTGAGAGTTTTTATCATTTTTATAAGAGACATCAATGCGTTTATTGTATTTATGAAGCTGAGTTAAATTACACCTGTAATAAATTATTGACATTAAGTCGACGATTTAAGGTTTTGATTTTCGAATTCAAGGGGGTGTTGTGGAGAATTTTTTTTTTCTCACCACTTTATTATTATTTTTGTAATTATACTAGTTATTAATTATACATTAATTTCAGGAGAAAATGTAGAGATATTGATTTCTGTAGAGAATTCTTTTGAGTACAAGAAGGATCTTACATTTTTCTCTGAATTTATTCCTCTCAGAGGGATCCATTCCATTGGAGGAGTGGATATGTCTGGAAAATACCGATCAAAAGAACCTGCGATTCTTTATAGGAGCTGAAATCGCGAACCCTTTGTGTATCGACTGCAGAACGACCTTCTGCATTAAAAACGTAAAAACCTCCCCTACTCCACTTCATTCAGTCCCTCAAACAAAAAGAGTTGGGTAGGGCAGAACGAGAGGGGTTGTTCTGCAAAGGGTCACATTGACGTGGGTAAAAAAGCAACTCCTGACCTGGAGATAAACCAAGTCCTGCGCCACTGTTTGTACAGAAATCGCCAGAAGAAAAATTTAAAAAACCCAAGTAGAAAAGTCAAGTGTACACTCAGTGTAAAATTCAATTGCAATGACAGCAATTAAAACCAATTAAATTATTGAGAGGGGGAAAGGGGGCGCATTGAAGTGTGGGAGTGTGATCTCATTGGAAATTATTGGCATTACAGCTGAGTTTAATGTATGGGGAAAGAATGAGCACGTGCGTTTCACCAACACCAATATCATCTTGCCATTTGTAGTGGATTCAAAAGCTCCGACACTGACGTGAGAGGCGCTTCAAATATACAACTAATACAACGAAACCCTCGCCGTTATATCTCCGAGGGGATATTTCTACGTCTGCCAGCTGTAATCGGGCTCTCATACCCTTCACACGTGTCTCCAGTGAGTCTTTACCAGACCGGTAGTTCCTCCTCACACGTGGTCTCTTTACGCGCCTCTATTGCTTCAAAATTCCTGTCGTAATAACTCGTTGTATTATTATTTCGTCTCCTCTCTTTTGGGGACAACTGCAGTTTCTTCACCCTTGTTGCGGGGTTGCCACGGTGATGTCAAGATAATGGTGCATATTGAAAAAATTTTCTTACGCTCTGGAATCATTTCGTGAGAGGATTTCATGTGGATTTGCTATTTTAGTTTTCTCTGGTGAGTAAAATTTTCGTAACAAATCCGCGACAGCAAATTCCTTGCCGGAAGTTCTGTCAGTTACAGGTGGTTCAAGGATTGAGTATTCTTAGGGTTTCTATTTTTTCGCTTTGGGGTTTTGGAGTAAAAAATTTTTTGAGTTGCCAGCTGGTATTACGTCAAAGTCAATAAACTCAGGTGTGGAGTGATTTTAAAACGAAAAACGGTTTTTCCGAATTTATCATCGTGATGATAAACACTTTCTTGGGATTTTCCGTTGTATTCTTGTTGAGCGACAATTTACCGAAGCCGAAAATTATGCGAATTTATTAATTTCACAAGAAAATTTGATTATCCGTGGAAAAAATTTCCGCAACGCCGAAAAGTTTTGAATACTGCATCCGATTTTTTAATCCTATTATTTCAATCTTATTTTTTAATCTAAAATTAAACAAGTCAAATGATTTGTAGTAATAAAACGGAATATCATGATTTGTTCATCGATGATTCAATCGATTCAGTAGAATATTCGACAATTAATTATTAATTTATGTGGAGATGAATTGATGTAAAATTGAAATCTTGACTCCTTGCAGGATTCACGAAATTTCCTATAAAAAAATCTCTCGTTAATTCAGACTCCTCTCCGCAACGAATTGAATAAATTGCTCCAATACTTGTAATTGAAAAAAACAAAACCGAAATAGGTTCGCCGGTCCACCCTGTACTCACTAATTCCATGCGGGCGTTGTAAACAAGAATAATTTCATAATTGACAAACCCACGCAGTTGTTATTGAATAATTGCTTCAAGGTAAGAAGCGTTGATTACTGAATGAGTAAAAATTAACGAAAAGATCTTGAAAATGAGTGCATGGATTAAAGAAATATCTAAGATGAATCATGTAGTGGAATTGATGTAGGAGTTAAAAATGCCGTACGAGGAGAATGGAAAGGCGGAAATAGACCTGGAGGATGTGGAATTGAGTCCCCTCCAGCGGAGGACACGTTTCCATGTCAACCGGGTGGACAGCATGGAGGGTAGGACGAGTCTCCTTGGGGAACAGGAAACAAAAAAATCCCTCAGGCATATGACACGTGAAGCTTTACCGAGGCTCGATAATTATCGCAATATTCTGAGCATTCAGGCAGCACATAGACCCTCTCTGGATGAATTACATAATCCTACGTTCAATTTAAATAAGGTAAGATACAGCAGTTGATATTTTCAGCTTCCCGAAATCGCTGATGATTTTCTAAGTGAAGAATGTTGATGTAATATTGGTATGATTGTACGCGTCAAGAAGGCAGAAATTGGGTAATTAAGACAGAGACAGTATTCATAATTCTCGGGTCATGTTGAAGACCTGCACGTACCATTCGAATTATTGAATCATCTGGAAAACCTCGAGTGTCGGCATTCGTCTGTCTATAAACTCATACTTTCTAAGAAGTCATTGAAGATTCCACGATCATCCGTTTCATTCTCATCTGCATTCAGTCATTTCAGGAACTCAATATTTTCAATAAAACCTCGAATTTCCTATCATTTTTTGTCTTGATATTTTCTCATACAAACAACAATTCAGAATAAACCTGAAGAATGAGTAGATATGAGTAGATACCGGCAATAACTCTTTTAAATATCATCGGGTTATTAATCACCGGATAAAAATGAGGCTTTAGTTAATTCTCTATTGAATTCTAATCCGGTAATTTATTCAGATTCCCTTTGCTGAAGGAATTTCAAACAACCTAGACATCAACGTCAAATCGAAGCCCAACGTAAAGATTTAATCCCTTTCTGTCTCTTACGTTTAATCGCAGTTGGCATCCGTTTATTCGTGTTTTCACAAGGCCAAAGTCGCTCAAACACGCATTACTGTACATCGCAAGGTGGAGACTGAGAAACGATTAAAATTAAAATTCAGATAAAATGAATCCAGCGGTCTAGACAATTGATAACAAGAGATAATCATGATGCTTTATTTCATGTTGCCCTGGAATATCATCTACAGCTTTTAATCAACACAGAAACTCAAAATGACCGGAAAACCCGTCTATTTTTAGCCCAACTATCATTCTTGCTTTACCTTCTACTTCTCCATCTCTCAATTGCGAACTTGAATCATTAGATCCACTCGCAGATGAGTTATGGACTCGTATTGGGGGAGCTTGGCTTCAACCAAGTCATCAGTACGTTTTGTTTCAGACATTAAACCGAGATGGAAAATTTTTCCATATACCCAGTTGAATTGATTCAACGATTTATCCCGCGTTATTCCTTTATTCCCCAGTTGATAAACCAGATTAAGATGAACTGCCAAATCCTTGGAAATCCTTCTCATCCAGTGTGAAACCTTCTGAGGCTTCTGTTGAGGCAATTGCTAAAGTCTCTCTTAGATAACACCAGACCTTGACACTGATGCTTTCCGATTTTTATTATTAACAAATGTCATTTGCTTGGGGTTAATTGGATGAATCTCCCCTGAATCTTCCAGAAATTAATTAAATCACCAGTAAAAATCCTTGATTATAATTGAGGCTTCAAATCAATTTGTTTTAATTGCAATTCATTGGCAGATTGACTTTTTTTTTCAGGCCGGTGGAACCAACACGTTACCATTGAATCACGAGAAACCCGCGGGGGTTGGGGTAAAATTCGGATGGATTCAGGGGGTGCTGATGAGATGTCTTCTCAATATATGGGGGGTGATGCTTTTTCTGAGACTTTCGTGGGTTGTCGCGGAGACTGGTGTCGGTGAGTCTCGAGGATAAAATTATTTTATCATGGCTGATAATGGATAAGAAAAAATTTATAAGTCAAATGTTTGACTCTCTTTAGGGCAAGCTTTTCTGTTGATAATGACGACGACGGTAGTGACAACAATAACTGCCTTGTCAATGTCCGCAATCAGTACAAACGGCTTGATAAAAGGGGGTGGAACTTATTATATGATCTCAAGATCCCTTGGTCCAGAATTTGGTGGATCCATAGGTCTGATTTTCTCCCTGGCTAATGCCGTCGCCTGTTCCATGTATGTCGTTGGATTCTGCGAGAGTCTCATGGATTTACTTCGACCTGGGGAGAATTGTCTCGTGGATGGGTGCGGACCCTGGGATATCAGGATTGTAGGTCTGTTGCAAGTTCCTATTAATCCAATAGACATTTGATAGGTCGATCTATTAAAATTATTCCATCCAATTAATTCCGCCTGTCAAATAAATTTATAATTCTCCTCAGTTCTTCAATTTGTCAATAAAATAATTCGTTGGCAAGTCCTTAATGTGAATGTGAAGTGAATACTCTTATTAGTAATTAAAAATTTTTTTAGAGGTGAAAAATTGATGGAGATAATTGAAGATGAAGCGCAGATTTCTAGGATTGGGATTGTTGGTGGAAAATTAATGTCCACGTGGTAAAGGGATTTTTATTAACTATTGTCTCCGTTTAGGTTGCATAACAATAATTGTCCTGCTTGTCATTGTTATGATTGGGATGGAGTGGGAAGCGAAAGCACAATTGGGACTTTTAGTCATTCTCCTCATTGCACTTGCCGATTTCATCATTGGCACCTTCATCGGTCCCAAGAGCGACCAGGACTACGCCAAAGGTTTCATAGGATATAACGGTGAATACCCCTTTCATGTTTATAAAAAAAAAAAAAATTGTTTATGCGTTTTTTATTTGCAGCAAACTTATTCAAACAAAATTTTGGACCTGATTATCGGCCGAAGGACGATAAGGAGCACACTTTCTTCTCGGTATTAGCGATATTTTTTCCAGCAGCCACTGGAATTCTCGCTGGCGCCAATATTTCTGGAGATTTGAAGGTAATTTAATTACCAGTCATAGAAATTTTTTTAGATGTGATTATTTAATAATAAGTGGTTCATAATTGGAGTGGGTACCAAGTGCTGAGAAATTTCATGATTATAACAAAAAATTGAAATGTCAAGCTGACAATTCCACGAAAATGAATTCCTAAAGAGGTAAATTTTTTACAGTGTCATATTTATCAACTTGATATAATTAAACCTTCAAATTACTGCAATTTTCCCGTCCCAGTAATCTTCACTGAAATTTCCCAACACTCACTAATTGCCCTAAACTCAGGATCCACAGTCAGCAATTCCTAAAGGAACTCTCCTGGCAATTGCCCTCACAACCGCTTCATACTTAATGATGGCAGCGATGGTTGGTGGAACAGTAATGAGAGACGCTTCCGGGAATTTAGCAGATTTAATTGAATTGGCAAACAATTCTGTAGTTTTACTGAACACCACAATTCTCCCAAATACCTCGATGATGGTTAATTCAACTGTGGAGAGTCTGAGTGTCTCTGGAATTAACTGGACATACGGTAGATCATTCAACTGCACGGGGGGCTGCAAGTACGGTAGCCACAACAGTTATCAAGTTGTTGAACTTGTCTCTGGCTTTGGACCGTTCATCTACGCGGGCTGTTTTGCAGCAACTCTGTCCAGTGCCCTGGCTTCCCTAGTTTCAGCACCAAAAGTATTCCAAGCGCTTTGCCAGGATCACTTGTACCCCGGAATCCACTGGTTCAGTGGGAAAAAGGGAAAGGAACCAATCCGAGGATATTTACTCACGTTTATCATTGCAGTTGGATTCATTCTAATTGGTAATTAAAACTTTTTAATTGCTCGTTCGTGTCTCTTCGTCATCAACTGATGATCGATCGCTCTTTTAATTGGTCTGGTTTGGGCTTTCATGGGGAAATTCGTGTTCACTTTTATGAAGTTTTTTTTTCTTATATTCTAGGTAACCTGGATTCCATTGCGCCATTGATCTCAAATTTCTTCCTCGCTGCATACACACTCATCAATTTCAGCACTTTTCACGCATCCCTGGCTAAACCCATTGGTTGGCGGCCGACATTCAAAGTAAGAATAAACTGCCGTTTATCGAGTGATCTATTGCATTTCTGGAAGGAATCGTTTTTTTATTTCATTCTGGGGTCAGAAAAAAATTCGGCCTCATGCCAATTCCCAACGTTTGTAAAATTTTGTAAGACTTGTCTTTAAATTTCAGTATTATAATATGTGGCTGAGTCTCGCTGGATCGATTCTCTGTGTCGCTGTTATGTTCCTCATCTCCTGGTGGACGGCTCTGATCACATTATGCGCAGTCATGGCTCTCTATTTAGTTGTTGCGTACAGAAAACCAGGTAAATCCCACAACATGAACGAAAGGATTACGAAGTCCTCTTTTCCCTCAATCGTTGTTTCCAGACGTTAATTGGGGATCAACTACCCAAGCACAAACGTATAACAGTGCTCTCAATGCTGTTCAACAACTGGACAGAGTGGAGGAGCACGTCAAAAATTATAGGCCCCAGCTTATGGTGCTGAGTGGTGCTCCAAGCGTCAGATCAGCTCTTATAGACTTTGCCCATCATATTACAAAGAATCAAAGTCTTTTAATCTGCGGTCACATCGTCGAGGTGAGCTAATGGATCGAAGCGGAGAGTGCAAGTTTCAAAGTTTCAACTTGTATCGGTGAAGAAGTTCTGGAACAATTTGACTCGACCTCGTTAGCCTCCAGTACTGATCGATAAAAAAGGAGAAAAAAATCTCTAGAAAATTTTTGAACAGTTTAGTTATCCAAAAAAATTCAAGTTTTGTATTATTTCTTAGATTATGCTATGGAAAATTCATAACTGATTAGCTAATGTTGATTGGAATTAATTGACCTTTGTAGACTTCGTTGTCCTACAAGACTCGAGCGATAATGATGGCGAAGAACACCTCGTGGTTGAAAAATAACAAAATGAAGGGATTCTACAATTTAGTGGATGGCGCTAATTTCCAGGATGGAGCAACTTCTCTCCTGCAGTCCTCGGGGCTTGGAAAATTAAAGCCAAATATTCTAATGATGGGATACAAGCAGAACTGGGCGACTTGCTCTGCCGAGGCTCGAAACATGTACTTCAATGTTATGCAGTGAGTAATTTCCTTCCCCGATAAAATAAAGTAATTAAATTTTGTTGAATTATCATTCTCGTTTATTTAATTTTCATTCCAGCAAAGCGTTGGATATGCACATCGCAGTGGCAATTCTACGGTTGAGTGAGGGTTTGGACTGTAGTTCAGTTCTTAATGAAGCCGAAGACTCGAAGAGAAGTGCTACGACAACAATTCGAGGGAATCAGAGTTTCTCCCAGTTGAGTCAAGGTGAATTGGGTATTGAAGCTGTGAAGGATGATAAATTGAATTTTCATATCTTGTTGGAGATGTACAGTCGTAAAACTCATGAATGGAAAATGATTCTGATGAGTTGTTCCAGGAGTTGAAAAATGCCAAACGAATTTATTCTATTTTTCGTGGAAATTTTATGGAATAAGTTGTATATTGAATGAGATTCCATTGAATTTCTCTGAATTTACAGGTAGTAGCTCTTCGGATATTTCCATGCCGGGGAGCCCTCAGCCTAGACGACCCAAAGTCATTAATGAATGTCCTGATGGCTGTCTGGAGGACGTGAAGGAGCAAAAGCCCACGATAGTAACGATATCGAAGGAGCTTCTGGGATCAGTTACAAAATTCAAGAGAAAGCAGAAAAAGGGAACCGTCGACGTTTGGTGGCTCTACGACGACGGCGGACTCACGCTTCTGTTGCCTTATATTATCAGCACTAGGCGCAACTGGTCCAACAGCAAACTACGGGTGTTTGCACTCGCTAATAAAAATTCAGAGTTGGAGTATGAACAGAGAAAGTTAGTTCTTGTATTTTATTCTTTTTCGAAACTACCCTTTCGGTATTCCTTCAACATATTAGTATTTTAATTTTGTAGCATGGCAAGTCTGTTGTCCAAGTTCAGGATAGATTACTCAGCCCTGAAGGTAATTCCAGACGTGTCAAAGCAAGCGCAGCCCCAGACGAAGAACTTTTTTGATCTTCTCATAGCTGACTTCCAGAGTTCATCGGCATCCAGAGACGAAGGTATTCGAAAATAACTCTGATGTTTCAAAATGTGTGCATTATCCTCATTACTCGATTAAATCTCTATTTGAAGATGGCACGATAACAGAGTCGGAGCTCCTTGCAATGAACGAGAAGACAAACAGGCATCTGAGATTGAGGGAGCTGTTAATTGAGAACTCAATGGATGCTAATCTTGTTGTCATGTGAGTTGGAACTATTCAGTTGGTGCCTTCACTCGATGGATAGTCAAACAATGTTACCGGTTTTTTTTTTCTTTCCAATGATATTTTAATTGATTCATTGAGTTGAATTGATTGTTCTAGGACATTGCCAATGCCGAGGAAAGGAGCTGTTTCGGCTCCTCTATACATGGCTTGGTTGGAGACATTGACACGAGATATGCCACCCTTCCTACTAGTCCGTGGAAATCAGACGTCAGTCTTGACGTTTTACTCGTGAAGAAGAATATGGAGGCAGCGAGAAACTTCGCAGAAACTTTCAACCTGATAATATAAAAAATGTAATTTATTTGCCTTTCGCAGTGATCAGGCGTGCAAGTTAGTCCGTTATTAATTTTACCGGATGGTGGAGAAACTTGGCAGCACCGCAGAGATTTATTTTTGTAAAAATAAAAGAAAAGACAATTTTAGATTAATTGCCTTGATTGATTTAATAACGATTGCGTGGAGACATGCAGAAATCGTGATTTATTGAGTGATACCGGAAATTATTTTGTTTATCTTGATGAACTTTCATAACATTTTTTTTCATTTCCTCAATTCTTGGATTGGAAAATATTTACAACAATTTGCAGCACATACCAGAAAATGTGAATATTTAATATTCATGTGGGACTATGGATTTTCCTGGTAATTAACTTAGAGTGTGAAATTGCCACAAATTAACGAATCAGTTCTGTTGACCACAAGTGGGTAAACTCAAAATTTGGTTTTCCACCGAAAGTTTTTGATATTTCTCTCTGGTTTGCACTTTTGAAAATCAATGAGGGTTTATTCAACCCACACGCGAGTTGTGGTCAGGTTTCACTCGGTAGAGATATATTTTATTCATGGAGCAGACAAGAGCCTCGATCAATCCATGACAATACCCAGGGCACAAAAATTTATGATATCAGCGTCATTAGTCAGTGGATTTTTTCTGAATTCAGGCCGTGTAATTAGAGACGATAGAGAAACGCCTGAAGACGCCCCCGGGACTGTTTACCATTGGAAAAACCTGTGATATTATATATTCCCTCTGCTTATCATCGACGGACGGAATTTTTAGTGTAAATTCCGGTTTATGCTCGTATCTGCTGCATAAATATTGCATTATTTTTTCATCGGGGAATCGCATTCTCCGATGCACTCTTGAGTTTGATCTGTCTGCAGTCACGTTTTGAGATTAATTACTCGGTAATAATTTTTTTTCATGACTCATTTAGGTGAACGAAGACGATGGAAATTTTAGAAGGACTTTTACCGTTTGCAAATGAAATAGTCGAGCAGGTCTGTGCATCCACGATAAAAAATATTTGGTAGCGAGTGTCAAAAAGAGACGATTTTACTCTTGATTTTATCAACCGTATGGGGCGTGGGTTTAATTAAATCTTAGTCACGCTCTTGGATTCATTATTTCCGATTTTTTTTCACAGGATTTTGATGGGTCTCATCCCACGTTAATTGGAGAATTCAATGGAATAGGTCATGCAATTCAACTCTCGTTGGAATTAAAAAATCTGATTTCCAGCAGAAATAAAATTTTCGATTCCCAATCATTCAATTCAGACTATTTCCCTGTAATTCGCAATATTTTTTTACCAATTTTAGCTCCTTAATGATAGACTGGATATTTCATTAAATCTCAGTCACGTTTCTGGATTGTTAATCTTGGAGTATTTTATCACTTACAATCTGCAGAATAATTGTTTTTGATATAACACACCACTTGATTAACAATCCTCATATTTCAGATGAGCACTTCTGTCCTTGAAATATTGTTGGATAAAAATTGGCAGAGGAACGTAATATGTCGAGCATAAAACAATCAGAACAAAATTGTCATTTATGAAAGCCACTGGATAATTCATGCCCCTGCAAATGCAGAATTAATCGCGGCGGAATGGATTTTCAAATTAATTTTCCCAATTAAAACCCTCATGAATTTTTTTGCTAAAAAAAAATTCAATTAGCCTCTGAACCTACCAGGAAATTGCAATGATTCGGACAGAAAGGGCCGATGGAAGTATCAGGTCGAGGTCGACCTATCCAAAGTTTGCCGACTACCTCTATGATATTGAAAAATCTCGCTCGATATTTTGTCCTTTTTCGTAACTCCACAATTCTTTGTTGTTCGATAATTCAAGGCTGAATGCCAGGTGTAATTGTGAGTCGACCACCGTGAAAAGCCAAGTCCTTCCATTTAAGCTGAAAGCGAGAGCTGTGTGTCAAGGAGATTTCTGGTATTAAATCAGGTGCTTGAGGTACCTCTAATCGAAACTCTACAATTCCTGAGTTTACCCGGTGAATTCACTGGATGCAATGAATCGCATGAGCCGTCTGGAGCTTTTAAGCTCTGCAAATAGTCATTTACATCGACTGCAAATGGACTGGAGATGAAAACGTTTGACTCCCAATGGAATCGATTGGATGAATGAACTAGGAACAATTAAAATGAAGATATTTTCCACATCTTTCTTTATAAATATAAAGTAGGAGGAGTGTTGCCGAGGGGAAATTGAATCCTCAAAACATCTGAACCCACATTTTCTTCCATATTATAATGAAATCCACTGTTGCACTCGAAATCGTCAGTTTGCACTCTCCTGCAGGAAAAGTGCAGTTAACAATGAAACTTCAACATAAAAAACTATTCACACGTATTTCCTCTCATCTCTACCTGTACGAGTATGAAAAAACATCAGGCGACTAGTCGAGTCTTTTCAATTCCTGGTATATGCCATACGTTCGAAAAAGAGGCCATCAGTGTTTTTTTTTTTGGGGGGCTTCTCAATGTCCTTGAGATATTGATCAACCTTCCGGGTTCGCATGTGATTCCAGGAATAAAGTGTTAAATGGAATTGTCGATAGGAATTGAGCTCGACGCATCGGAGGCGTTATCGATACGGGGGTATTCCTCTCGATAATCCAGTGGGCGTCTCTGATACTCCAAATTTTAATTACCAACTGCAAAAAATAATGACAGACTATTTACAAAGGACAAGAGAATCGATATTCATCCATTGGAATTAATTAGTCAAATCATCAAAAAAAAATTAGCAGTCCTTCATTAATTAACGTTCAATCAATAATTAATTTGTAGTGGATCCCGTGTGATAACACCTGGAAGTTGTATGTAGTGAGTAAAATATGAAATTTAAAATATGAAAAAAATAAATTTCATCGATGTTCAGAGGAATCCAGACACCACTCTAGGATGAATTTTCTATAACTCCTCATTACGCATTCAAATAAAATCTCTTGATGTCGCAATTCCTCTGAAAAGTGGAGCAGTATACCTCAAAGTAAACGGATTACCTCATTCCATAGGAATAAGAATCCCAGCAGATTACGTTCCTCGTTCTCCATGAAAATCCCGTATGTCCTCGTTTTCCAGCATCATCTGCTCTCGATAATGATGAAGAAGTTACAGAGAAGTCAATGACGACAAAACCGTTGCATTTAACTGTGGAGCGGTGGAGATGCTGAATATCTCGTCTCTTGAGCTTGATTTAACCATTGGGTTTTAACATGATGCGCATGCGCACTGCCTTCACTTCAGGTATAAAACATACATACCTCCCACCCCTCAGCACCCTGACGAGTTTTGCCGGAGGAACTTTAGACTTCAGTATCGCGCCGGACGTTGGTCAGGTGCAATCGTATTTTTATTTTTTCATCTGGATAAACAAACAATCGTCGCGATAAATGAATAAAGATATTCAGGATTGATCGACCGAAAAACGTGCAATTGTTCCTCATTGTTTTCGGGATTGAAAAAAAATTTTTTTTTTAGGGCTCACTACTCGGTTTTGTTGACGTGCACTTGGAACTCAGGAATTCACCTGAACAGGTTAAGAGGTGAACAGGTAGCGGGACACGCGTCGTCATGGGTTACGAGTGTTGTGCAAGTGTAGTGGAATTTTTTTGAATATCCTATTTTTGAGTTCTTCGCGCCCAGAGTCTCATGGATACTAGATTATGAATTGGAAGCTGCTCACGGGGATCAGCTCGTGGTGAGAATTTTTTTCAACCAGAAATTTGAGGTTTCAAAATTTGTCAAATGATTGGGATAAATCACAAAACATTTATATTGTATAAAAAAAAACAATTGACCGTACTGATATATTAAAAATATACAAAATATATGTTTTCTTTGTGTTTTTTCTGTATCTTTTATATATTTTTTCCTGGAACTATTCAGGAGAATAATGAATTTTCAATGGTTCCACTTTTTGTTTCGTTTGACTCATGAATTTAGAAAGATTGAAAATATCAAATTTTTCTTTTGAAATTTCAAGAGTAATCTTCTCATCATGACGTAATTGCATGGAGAAACGCCGGAAGAAATCGTCGTTGTCTGTGAAATCATTGAAAAGTAGCTTAAAAAAAATGAGTGAGACCCATCTCAACCTCAGAAGTAGTAAAACATTCTGGTCGAGTCTTATAAAATAGTCTAGATGTTCAATTGAACCTGAATCATTACGGGGCAAATGAATATTTGGCTTGAGGGGGTGATAGCCAGAAAAAATAGATAAATTGAATGTCAAATAAAACGAGATAAATCGCGAATTCTGGAGCACATCTGACTGATGGAATTCGATTATAAAATCTTCACGAAGGGGAACACGTATACCATATGCACCCGTCCCCTCTGGGTTTTATTAATTTACCGCGATTTATACAGTGGTGATATGATTCCTCGTGTATCCCCTTATTCAATTGTCCCACATTCTACATTGAATTCCCTCTAATGCCATTCACTTCCAACAAATTCACGACAGATCAAAACCAAACGACAGGAAAAAGCAAATCTCCAAAGAGTTCTTTCCTTCTTTCAGTTCGGCTCATTTTACCTGAGGATTAAAAATACGGGGAAATTACTCCAATTCTGGATCTTAAAATAAACCAGTCCTTTCTGGAACCGGAGATTTAATTAACACTCTTTTTACCGCCATTCTGATGAACACAAATGCAAAAGTCTGCAGACCGAATATAAAGCTGAGGAGACTCGAAAATTAAGTGTGTGTACATGGTAATAAAGTTTGAGGAAATTGAAAATTCTGAGCGAAAGGGAAAGTTTCTGGGACATTCCGGTGGTATAACCAAATGAATTTTGACAGGGAGTGGATAAATAGTAAAAATGTTTAATTATAATAAAATAATAATTGATTATTTGGTTGAAATGATTACGAGTAGTCAAGATAGTTTGATGAGTGATTCTGGTTGACCCTTGTGTAATTTCAGAACTCCATTGTTCCTCTGGGTCGGTGTTTTACGACTGTGAATAATGGAAATGTGAGAAATGTCAAAAGCTGGGATGAAAGAGGTTTAGAGCTGCTCTAGAGGCTCTAGAGGCTCTACAGGTATTAAAGCGATGCGAGAGATGAACGGTAGAAATTGCGCGGTTTTAGATGTTGGAAAGTTTTCCACGAGAAGAAACACACGCGTCTCATTGCTGACTCATACACCGGTCGTGGCTTCAACCAACCGAGTCGCGACTCCTTTAAAGAAGTAGAAAAAAAAAACAAAGGGCATTTTTCAGGGGAATGGAGAAACTGAAAAAAAGGAAGAGGTGGGCGGAAGCCAACGGAAGTCACGATAATTCGCTGTAATTTGTAAAAATTCTTGAGAGAACTTCCACAGGTTCTCACCTTGAATAGACCATCCCCAAATCGTAAATTTCGATGGGAAATTGTTTATGTCACGTGAAAAAATAACACTGGGTTCTATTCTATTTTTATGACATTCTACTTCTACAATTCGACAATGAAATTGAAATAGCGATTCTCTCGGTTATAAAAAGTTTAATGCAAATTGAAAAATACCTTCAGATTTTTCAAAGCTGGTGTAGACATTTTTGTTATTTCGGGGTAGAATAAAAATGGCGTTATTTTATCTGGACTCTGTACTGAGAAAAAAAATCAATGATGTTGGGTAAATTTACTTGAGACAACGAAATGCCTCAAGTCTTTATGTAAAGTCCCAATTTAAATTCTGGTCTGGAACAAATTTGTTTCGCACTATTAAATTTAATTGGCAGAAGTCATTTATTTTTCTGAGGAGAGAACAGTATTACGTGATTTTTGTACAATTTTATCTGACAGAGAGTAAAATGACTTTTCCTTCGGCGATGGAAATTTCAAGGCGAGTCAATTAGTACAAATAAAATAGACAAATTGCATTGAGTTGCGGTTCTCAATATCTCCATATAATTTCAGTTTCAATCGATCAATTCATTATTAAAAATCAAAGGGCAACATTATTTATTATAACGCATTTCTCTCGGGATACCAGTCGGAGAAATATTTTAAAAACAAAGTCGATTTTTTTTCGCGTAAAATGTACTTGGTAACGATTTTTTTTTTCTCTGTGAAGATGACAATTTTGCACTGCATCTCGACACGTACATAGAGAACTCAGGAGACGTGTTCAGCAGTCCTGATCATGTCCGTTAGTACGTGGAGATATGCAACATGAATTTATAAAAGTTGCATTGAGACACAACAGGACTGCGAAGGGATTTACGAGGGTGGCAGAAAATAATTGCAGAAAAGTCGCATAATTTTTGTTGGATACCATCCGTTTTGGAGAATCTTAAATGTAATCCCACAAACACTATTTAGCTATATTTTAGCCTATTACATATATATTATTATTATTATATATGTAAAGTACGAACTCAACACGTGTGAAAATGGTTTATTCTGGCACATCAAAGTAACTCGAGCCGGCGCCTCATATTTCCCCTGTTTTGCCGTGATCGTCGTCATTTGACGCCAAAAGATTTTAATTAAAAAATATCCTCGTTGAATATTCTTTAACACATGGGAAGCCATCTTTGGCACATGATATTGTTGAAAGCGCCGCTCTTCTGTCCACCGTTTTTGTTAATAAATTTTAAAAATAATAAATTTTAAAAATAATAAATTTTAAAAATAATAAATTTTAAAAATAATGAATTTTTATTCTTTATTTTTCTCCCAAAAAATGTCTTCCCTCAGTTTAATGAAAATTGAGAGTTTTAAAAAATTATTTTGATGAATTAATTCAGGCACTCTTGAGGCGCACAAATGAAATTCATAAAAAATCATTACTGGTAAGAGCAGAAAGTATGAAAATAAATAGGTGTAATAGTAATAACAGTAATAACACCGCGGATTGAAATAATTGCATTGTGGTTTTCCGTATCAACATAAGGAAGAAGAGGAATTGTCCGTTGCAGACCGGTTTTGCTACAAATTAAATGTTAAGTTACACATGTTTCTTTTTCCTCGTGGTATCTTGTTATTCTCATTGAGTTGATCGTTGAGTCATCAATTATATTCCACGTGGGCGAGCAGGCTGAAACACTGTATCGTATTACGATTTTTTAGGATCAATTCAGTTTAAAAAATTCATAGGATTTGCGTTTTTAAATATTTTTCACGTTAATGAGCGTTTTTTGGCTAATTAAATGCTTCGAAATTGAGGAAACTAGTCGAAGATCTGTCGTAATGAGTACCCGAGGGGCAGATTTACACCCGTGACATTTGAACGGAATGTAGAGATCAATCAGCGATATCTATTGAACGTACGCTGAATTCCATGGGATTGAAACATCGGTGATTTCATGTTTGGGGTAATTACCCGTTCTCTAATGAGTTCAGTAAAATCTGTCAATTTACACTCAATTTATGTCACCGCAATCTTTATTTTGTTACAAATAATTCCATGGGTTTCATTTTATCTGATTTTATTTGACTTTGCAATAGGAAAAATCGCGTTCAGTCGAGTTTTCCTTGAAATTGCTACACGGAGAGAAATATTTAGTAAAAATTACGGTTTCAGGTCACTTACCGATTACGGAGTCGATTCGAAAAATTTAAGTGACGGTATCGTAATTTTTTGGTAATAATTCAGATAAAAATTACGGAACACCGCAGAAAAATTCCGCGACTTTGGGTAAAAATTACGTGACAGTTCCGTAAAATTTCTGACAGCCACATTTCGCTCGAGAATTACGGAGAGTAATTTTCCTGTTTTCCGATTTTTTGGTGTAATGAACTTAAGATTATTTACATGACGTAAGATTGGGATGAATGAAGGAGGCAATTGCAATTATTCAATGACGACTCCCAGGATTTTATTAAGGTTTGTTGTTACAAATCCAAAGCGGAAATCTTTGGAGAGCCGCTATTACGAGACAATTCTCGTATGAGTACCGTTCATCAATCCTTTATCCTCGTTTCTCTTTATCTAATTTTTTTTATTTCCTCTCGCAATTGAGGGACACGATGAAATAAATATTATTTGAGTGGAGGAGTCACGTCTTAACTTGTGCAATAATCCACTGGCATAAATGTCAGGTCAGGCCCCAGTTAGAAGGGATACAGGCGAGGTTTATCCTTCACCTGTTCATTTTTCTCAGGTTAAAATTGTTTTTTTGTGGTGATTTTGCTATCATCTCCGTGAGGATATCTTCTGAGAAACAATGGCTTCTCGCCTGGGTATTTCCCTCGTACAAGAGATTGTCAATAATTCATTTACATGATTTATCGTCATTTTATCTGAGAATTACTTCTGGAAATTGCAACATATTTTTTTGTTTGTTAGAGTCGTTTGATTGATTTCTTCAGTCACTTATTTTGCATAATGCGACATTTTGTTATCTGTGTTTCTTAGAAACTATTCACTTCACTGACAATTTAATTGCAGATGCATCCACCTGCATTTACTGCATTCTTTGACATTAAAAATACTTCAATATTTTCTGCCAATGAAATTCATTAGTTCGAGTTTATTTTTCAATTATTCATTTGGTTATTCGAAATATCCGGGAATTTAATTGATCGAATTAACACTGGAATTGAATTAATACAAGTGCAACTGAAAAACGTTCGAATTTTAAATATTTATGTCCCATTTTCATCGAATCAAATTCTGCACCCGAGCAAATCTCAAACGGATTTCTTCGACTGTATATAAAATTTAATTTCCGCGGAATATGACGTAGAAAAAGCAATACAATTTATGT